GGTCCCACCCAGCCCCCAGCCCCGTGCGTCCCGCAGCCCGCGATCCCGCTACTGCGCCCCCCGCCGCTGGGCCCGCCCACACCCGCCAGGCACCGCCCCCAATCCGATCCCGCTCGAGAGGAGGGGCGACAGCTGTCGTGGGGCCGTCCTGTCCTTTGGAACTCGGCTGGTCAGGTGTCCCCTACTTTGACCCTCCTCTGGGCCACCATGACCTCATTCAGCCCATCGAGGCGGGGTACTGACCCCTGTGGAGTGAGCTGGGCAGGGGAGCTGTCCACTGGGGGAGAGGGGGTCCCTCACGCACGGAGCCCACCCAGGTGGGACGGATCAGTCTGGACCGCGTCCAGATGGGGCTCGATGAGGACTGACGTCCTCTGTGGAGTCCTCGGACCGGGACTTCCATCCCTAGTGGGGCCTGGTATGTGAAGAGCCCCATTTTTCCGTACCCCAAGGGGTCCCTTCAGTCAGGACCTCGTCCTCTATGCAGCTGTCACGACCCCAGTCTTCCGCGTGGCTCCGTAAGTTATGACCTCCGTCCCCCACGGGGACCTACGTCCTCCAAAGGGACCATTTGATAGGGATCCCCCGCCACCCGTAGTGGGGATCCCCGCCTCTCATGGGGCTCAGGAGGATCCTCCCCAATCAGTCGGGGCGTTCATGCCCCGGACAGCCCACTGCATCAGAACCCATTCCTCTGCGCAGCGCAGTGGTCAGGGGCGCCGTTTCTCCGGAAGCCCCATCTGAGACACCAGAAGAAAAAGCCGCGGAGCCAATTTTCCGGTGTGCTCGTCCTAACCCCTGCGCTGCACGCCTCCAATGAGTCACCTAATCTGGTCTCCTGATGGCCCCGCCCTCATATGGCGTCACACGCTGGCCCTGCCCTTCTCCACTAAGCTCTCGGTCTCTCCCGCGAGTAAAGGTGCGTCCTCTTCCCTGAGGGGCCCGGGCCTGAAAAGGGCGGGACCCTGCCTGTTTTGACCTTCAATTGGCTCATCCCTCTCCAGCGCTGCTTCACGATTGGTCGGTTTTTGTTCTTCTCCCCTCCGTCCTCGGGCTTCCGCTTCCGGTTCTGTTGGTCTCTTCGGCTGTAAAGATGATCGGAGACATCCTGCTCTTCGGGTAAGTAAGGGGACTAGAGGCTGGGTGATAGGGCCCGACGGGGCTGGGGGAGGTCTAAGAAACTGCATTCTTCCTCTGCAGAACGCTGCTGATGAACGCCGGGGCGGTGCTTAACTTTAAGCTGTGAGTAGGCCGTGAAGGACCGCAACTCCACCCGGGGACCCGTAGCCCCGCCCCCACGAGCGTGAGCCAGCCCCACGTCTCAGGCCCGGCACCCAAGTCCCAGAGGGATCGGGCTTGCAGCCTTGTCCTTGCCCCTGGGACTCTACGCGCTACCGCGACTTGAAATCCTGGCTCTCCGTGCTCCAGTGATCCCTCTGTTCGCACCCCAAAGAACCTCAGGCCCATCCCCCAAGAACTCTTAGTCCTCACCTATACTCGCGGACTGCCTTCTCCACCTTATCGATGGCTGTAATTGGTGGGGCAGGTGGGCGCCCTGAGAGGGCCATTGAACCGCCGGAGGTCACAAAGCAAGTCGGCGGTAGAGCTGAGTGTCTCTGGCCTTTTGAGTCCGGGGGACTGAGCGGTCTTTGTGCCCCATCGAAAGTGGACACTGACTGCTTTTCTTTGTAGGAAAAAGAAGGACACGCAGGGCTTTGGGGAGGAGTCCAGGGAGCCTGGCACAGGTAAAGCCTCTTTTTTGGGCTCTAGAATTGGTCCATTTCAGAGAGGACAGTTCTTTCTCAAGTCCTACCCCAGTTCAGTTTTCTTTTTAGTTTTGTGCATGTGTGTGTGCGTGCGTGAGACAGAGAGAGATAGGCACGAGGATGTGCTGTTCCTTCTGCCCACCTCTGTTGCTGGCTCCTTTCTCCTGCCAGATCTCTGTGCGTAAGTCAGCACTCATATTACTTCCTACAGTTATAACTTTTCTTTATATGTATTTTTTCATCTGGCTAATGTCTTCCCCTCACACCTTAAGCTCCAGAGAAGAGACTCCAGCTTGCTTGGCTCATTCCTGCTTAGTGACTGCTTATTTAGTATTTGTCGCCCCTGTGAGTTCCGTAGGGCAGGGACCCCTGTCACATTCTTCCATGTCCCCTGCACTTGGCTCCTGCCTGGAATGGAGTGGCCTTAATCAGCATCTGTTGATGGCAGGAGAGCCCATTTACATGGTCCTCTGCTTAGAGAAGGGCCTTGCCAAGCAGTACTTCTCAGACATCCTGGGGAGAGACCTGTCTCTGAGAGTTGAAGTCCATGCTAGGCCAACACTTACATAGGCTGTTTGGCACACGGCCAACCCCATGAGGTGGATAATACTGGACTTGCCTAAACAGGGTTTCTACAAGATCGTGTGCTGATCATGCACTAGGATGGTACAGTAGTACCAGTACCAGGTGGCTGTCATGTTGAGTTGCTGTGAAAATTTCTGAGCTACCTGGTATTTGTACTTAACTATACATCTGTGGTCTCTAGATGACACTTTGGGTAGCACCCTTGTAGGTCACCTAAGCTGAACCAGTTCACTTCATTACAGAGGCTGGG